ATCGCAGGCGCGAGAAGGAACTCCTTCAGGGTGGAAGCGAGCATCTTGATCAAGAGGCACCATATGGGGAGTGTGAGAGGAGCAGAACACATGTCCACAGTGGCGGCAATGGTGACGACGCAGGAAGAGGCCAAAAGATGAGCGACAGGTGGGTGAGTCGCAGTTGGGAGAAGCAGCGTCCGCCTGTGAGGGAGCATTGTTAATTCTTTTGCTCATTGCCAAACACAAAGGACAATCCCAGTAGGGTAAGGGCATAGTCACGCCATCACATGCGATGACGAGCTTACACGCCATTTGCGAGGAATATTGCGCGAGGATAAGGGGTATATATCCCACTATATCCCTCGCGAGACTCGAAAAAAAAAAAAAAAAACAAAAAAACCGAACGAAAAAGAAACTAACCTTCCAGTGTTCTCTAGTGGGAAGACCAGTAACTTGACCAAGGTGCTCCGTCTTCATCCACTCATTCTCAGCGAGCTTGCTGATGGTGTTGCTATAGTTGCTCTCCATGGTGGAACGACGGCTGACGAGCGTACTAGGTTCTTCGTCGTTCAGACTGTCCAGAGAACCGTGCACACTGCGCGGAGGGGTTGGAGGAGAGGACTTCTGAGGGCGTTCGGTAGGGCGCAGGGCAGCGGGGACGTACAAGGGACCCTTGAGAGGCCGCAACTGGCGACTCTGCAAAGGAAGATGCTGTAGACGGGGGGAAGTGGGAGAATTGTTGACAGGGGTGGCGGAAGCTGAGTTGACAGGAGATGGATGGCCGTAAACAGAGATCTGGTTGGCAGATAAAGGAGAAATAGTGGTGGTAGTGACAACGTGAGTGGCCATGATCCTTAGTTTGTGTCTATTTCGTTGGGGGATCCAGATTCGTAAATGTGGGTGATCTCAAACAGAGAGAGTTGTAGAGAAGAGAGAACACTGAAATAACGGCGGAAGAGAGGAGAGGCGAGTAGCAATACGCTTATCAAAAGCAGTGAATACAGGTGGTTTAGGGGTGGTGAATGGTGGTCGCGAGTCTTGTTGAATGGCAGCAGACAAGCATCGCTCACTGTAGAGAGAGAGCGACCAGTAAGAATAATGGGCGGTCCAAGCAAGAAGCAGTATATGCAAATCGGAAGGATAATTATGATGTATGGGATACAAGGGATATGCAAAAAGATAAGCGCTTGATTGATCAAATGCTAGTTGGATGGATATAGCAGAAGAATGTACCTTGCTCACAGGCTTACTGCACAGATAAGGAGAAGAAAAGCAAAGCCGTGGTATAGATCTGGGCGAGGCCGAGTACTAATAAGGATATCCCATGGAAGAATGGAACAGCCAGAGTAGATACTACTAGCCGGGGAAAGAGGCGACGGTACTCGAAACGGCGGAATGGAGGGACCGCTTTTTGCCATGCTTAGTAGATAGTCTGCTCAGTACGTAGTATTTTTATTATTATTAGTAGTATTACTATTAGTATCCCGTAGTAGTATTATATTTTGCTACCCTGTGGAGGACACCGAAAGACACTAGCAGGTTAGGTTTGAGGCTAGAAAGTCCGAAGAAACACTGTGGAGCAGGACGAGGCATGGACGATGGAGATGGGGATCGGTCAAAACGAATCCCTGCCACGTTATTTGTTAACAGCTATCTAACTAGAGGAAATGGATGCTAATCATCGTGGGCCGGTTGGACGGCCGGGTTTTCTTGCCTTTACAAGACTTCCTTAGATACACCGTAAAGTATGTCTCTCTATTACCATGGCCGAACTAATAAACTCCAAAGGATCATAATCATGACGAAATTCAACGGATGGTGAACAACGCTGAGTGGCCCATGGAGGATATAAGATTCATGGCGGGATGGTCTATACATGGATATTATCTCGAAATGATGAAGACGATAAAGCTATGATGTATATGGTTTTAGCCATCTGCATCATGATCTTGAAGACAATACCTTACTTTAGATTGTTTGTCTCAAACCAATATGGCGTTTATGGTGTATCCCGAAAACCCAGCCATCGGAAGAAATACTGTACTGGTGTCTATCCGTACTTGATCGAGAACGGCCTTTTACCGACGCCGTTCTGTTTTAGCTGATTTTTCGGGATCTCTTAGCCTCCTGTACTGTAGTCTACTAGTCTACCGGATTAATTCGTAGCTGCTGATATTCAGCATTCTGCGGGTCCGGAAGATTGTAATCTATCTAAATCATAGTCAAGCTATGAATCTCATTCATGGATAATCATAATTCTTCCTGATGATCTCTGAAATTAGTAGTATGGAGTAGATACAGAGTAGATAGAGTCCGCAGTAGATGGGTGTCCCTTCATTCCTTTTGGGGGAGCTTCGCGTTTCATCCAAATAAGCGGTATAGGGGAGATTCCGGTTGGAGGAAAGGCAACAAATCATCGACGGGATGCGACATTCTGCCGACATTCAGGACAGCGGGCTCGTCAACTGGCTAATCTGCTATCTACCTATCTACTCCGACAATTGCGGTAGAGTGTTCATCCTGCAAATCACTTCGAGTCATAATGACAACTTTAGATGCTGAACATCAAAGCTACTGTTGACCGCTTCTTCTTGATTCGCATTGCCATCTGTTTGGTCGTCACTCCCTTCCGAGGTCCGGTTTCGATGCGAGTGGCAAGCCCCGTGAGATACTTCTCACTTCAAGAGCATGAGCAAGACTTCTTGCCCCTTCAGGCAATCCTCAGCGCATCTTCGATTGTCGTCCCCACTGTTACGTTTGTGGATGATGGCGATGATGTTCCATCTCCAAGTCTCCAACCCGCCACCGTACAGGCTGAACTACTTCATAGGCTGCTTTGGTGATGCTAGCTCTCGGGTTTTCGTTAGATGGATCCAGATTCCAAAGGACTGACCGAAGTCAAGACCGGTCTCTTATTGGATGCTACTCCAAAATTCCACATGCGACGACGACCCACAGTGGCCACCTTGACCGAGATATTTCCTTACCCTTTACGGAGTAGTTCACGAGTAAGTACGGAGTAGATGGCTCCATACCCATACCTGAAGAGGGATGTGCATATCAATTGCTCCAGACCTACGATGTCTTCTATCATACTGCAAGTAGCCTCATGACAAACATTGACGACAGGATGATGCTCAAGGTAGATCCCCCTTTTCTTGTTGAATATCCCGTCCTTATCGGTCTGGTTCTCAAACCATTGTCTAGCGGTGTGGTCACGAGCCAGGGATCCATTCCCACTTCCAGCATACTACGACGGGTTGCTACCCTATCTATTGGGCACTGCTACCTGGCCAATCCGTTGTGGCGTCCAAACCAAAGGGTGGAAACCAATCAATCCTACAAGCGGTCTCGGTGGGGCTCTTGGCGTCGCCTTGGAATTGGAGGTTCTTTGATCTTGTTATCGCAGAGAGCTGGTTGGCTCAAACATCCAAACACGTTCCCATTGGCCAGTGCCCCCGACTGCACGGACAGGCCCCGAACTGCGCTCTCCGGAATTTCCATCAGCTTGGACAAACGACTTCAGATTATGTAACAGATTGGAGCAGCCAGGCTCTTCTGCTGTAATTTGCCGCGAAAGGTTAGCCATTCAATAGACCCTGCGACTTGGGATTTGGACCCTTCGAGAAGTGCTCTCTTAGTATTCTTTCTATCTGAGTAGCAAGTCGACTGTGTGACAAACGACTTTGGCCACCAACCGCAAGTGTTATCATCAAGAACAAGCAGTTGGGAGGGTTGTGGATCAAGTATAGAGGGGCGGGTACTCCGTACCGCACAGCAGACACCGCGGCTATGTATCTGTCCCAAGCAAAGCATTCCACTCACCGTTAAAGCCGCTGCAGCTCACATGTCAGACATGCTTGACATGCGTTGAAGCCCCTCTCCTTGCTGGTCCAGACTGGCCGTAGAGTATTGCTATTTGTAACCAGAGACTGTTCGAGATCCGTTGGTATAGTTGGCTAATGTTTCCTGCCGCCAAACTCCAAGGCTACAAAAATGGCTGGTAGTCGAATCAGAAGAAGATTTCGAGGAGTTCTCCCATTATGGAAATATGTTTGTGATCCTTGTGCTGGTTTCACGTCAGATGATCATGTTGGCTGTCTGTGTGCTGGGCCTAGAAAGGCTTTGTCCTGTACAGAAGAGAAGCATTAGATGTCTCTGTAGGTTAGTTCTGCTCTTAGCTTAGTTTCTACACCATATTTATCACTTCCCATACTATACATACCCACTCTCTTTTTCTCTTACTCCCATTCCTACATGCCATTTGACTGTCTTCTTAGTTTTTCTACATGAGTAATTGCAAAAGACCATCTAAAGTAGAGGCTGCTATAGAATGAACACCACCACATAATCACACAAGACCAATAGTTTATCTTGAATATTAGTTTAATAGTCATTGACCAGTTAGTAGTTAGTTAGGGTTAGCAATCGTTAGATAAAGTTTGCCTAAATCTTTTTAGATAGAAAGAGTAATGCTATATCAACTTGATGACATATTCCGCTGCGGCTGCTGCTGAACATCGAGGTCTTCAATTTTATGTTCTCATGTCTGGAATTTCCAATGACTTAATCTCATTCACTATCATATATTGAAAGTGACCCTGCTGACTCTCGCCTCATCTCAGAAGTAATGCCGGGTATAACTCCAGAAGTGAGCAGGCACTCTTTGCTGATGGCGGATTGGATGGGCCAGCTCCGGTGTCTTTAGGCTTCTTCAGGCTTTTCCATTGGGTTAGAACTTTAATTTATTTCAAGGCTTAGAGCCTCTTTAGTTTCTTCATGACAATTAGTTCCTAGCTAGGCGAAGCGCTGGTGAAAAAGGGTACCAGCCGCAGGATTTATTAGGCTATACATGCTAGCTTTACACATTACTGTGTCATCAGATGAAGATAATATTAGTACAGCAAACCGCTAAGTCAAGTCAACTAATACAATCACAACGCCAGATCCCTATTATACACTGTTTAGGAAAGACCAAAAACCTATACCAGCATCGGAGTTGTCTTGTCTGACAGGCCTCAGATCGCACCAAGCAGATGATGCTGCTTTCTTAGGAATGCCACATCCTCACTCAGAGCAGCATTCCGATCCTCGAGGTTTTGAATACACTTTATAGCGTTGGTGAGGATTTCACACTTTTTCATCGAGCACGGCCTGTTATCGGAGACCTTTTGTTTGTTCCGACAACTAGTTATGACCTTTTCTAGGGTAGTAAACTTGGCATTCATGTTGGTGCGGTACCGCTTCTCAATGATATTATGGGATGCTCGTTTGGCAGCTTTGCGGCCGTTGATCGTTGGAGAATCAGCAGATGAGGTTCCACTTTTCTTGGGAGGAGGACTGGATGAGGGCGATGGAGATGGAGATAGCACGCCAGTGATCAGAGAAAGATCTTCTTGTGAAATGGTTCCGGGGCTTGGCCGCTGTGGGGTTTTGTTATGGGTTTTATGTTTGGCATTGGCTATGCCACTCGTGGAAGCAGTTGAGGTGCTTGGAGCTGTGTTGTCTGAGGTTGAATTATCAGAAGAGGCTGGATCTGATAGTTGCGCGCAACGAGTTGGTGGCCACAGTTGGGTCTTGCATCTGACCTCCTATATCATATCACAGGTTAGAACAGAGGAAAAGATGGACTGGATTAAGTGGATAGCTTACTGAAGGCGGAGCATCAGAAGAGACTGTTGTTTCCCTAAATTCACCGACGTAATTAGGGAACTTGACAGTTTGAGGCGGTCCTGATATTTCTTCAGGGAAGATATCTTCTGGGTTCAGTACCATATTGCTGGTGGAATCTGGGGGAATAGTCTCTGGTAGCATGCTCCTCAGTTGAAATGCATCAATGGTATCATTGTCATCCTGAGGACCTGGTAGTATGTCGGGATATGTAGCCATACCAGACCTCTGCTGGAAGCAAATGTTACTGTTATTTTGAAGAGGCCACGATATTGAAGCCCTAGCTTGGCTGTAATAATTCATCATGATGGCAGTAGGCAATAGCTTCCAGAATAGAATGAAGCTATTATTCTGACTCACATGTTTGTAGCTGTAGACAGAAAGGTTGATCTATAATGATTTCTTGAGCTTGGATAGGGAAGAGAACATAACTCCATGGCTGTGGGCGATAGATACATATACAAAAACATTGCCACGGGAGTGATGCTGAGAAATCCTACCTATGCAGCTTCATGACGGCATTGTCGTTAGGACCACCTGGGGATCGACATGTGCCAGTGATTAACCAGGGATCATGCTGAATGCTAACCAATAGTACTCCAAGCAACATCAAAGGTAGGACGTCGAAGAACAGATGGTCGACATCTTGACATCGCTGCTGAATAGAAGGACCACTAAGCTCACAGGGTTAAGGGAAAGCTATGTCATGATGACCAATCGGACTTGGTAAGTGACATTCTAAGTTTGAGTCTATCTTAAGATTATTTTATAGTTTTCAAGCAGCTGTAAGGCTCTTCTTCATTTAGTCCTATGCGCCAGCTAAGTATTAGGGAATGCCTTTTCTACTTACACGTTCAGGTTCCTGTTTCCAAACACGAAAGGCTGACTCGTCCTCTACACCACTAAGAACAGATCGCGACGAGACCTCTGTGAAATCATCTCTCAATCTTCAGAAGAGGGATGTATACCGCCTGGAAAGTCTATCCACGCAGTTGTCGCCCCATGGATCTAATGGTCAGCACCAAGACTATCAGCTCAGTATATCATTGATCGAGAGATCTACCAACCATCATACTCTCAGCAGCGGCATCTATATCAATCTCCACCCGTGAAGCTCACATTTCGTGCCTAGATCTTGTCAATCGACACACCTAGATTGGCCAGGTGGAGTTTGCCGAAGCGGCCATCTGACTTCAACCCAGTGTCTGTCAAATCAGAGTTGTGGAGTGTCATCAAGGGCTTGGCGATGATTTTTGACATTTATTTCTTCGAGTTAGAGGGGGGAGCGAGCCAAACTAAAATGAATGACGGTTCAGAACCATCTCTTTTTTGTCAGAGATTCGGATATTGACACAGCCAGTGATCTCTCAGTCCCAATAACACTGACTAAGCTGACTTTGCAGTTCGTTGCGCATGCGATTCTGGTTCGTGGTTCAATCTTGGCAACTGTCAGGTAAGGAGCTCTACGATAAGGTTGACACTTTCCATACATTCGGAATCAGCAAAGTTGGATTTCCATGGGTGCGGCACACATGCGCCTAACCAACTATGGCCGGAAATGTCAGCCGTCCAATAGATTATCGGCCAGATGGTCAGTAGAGCTTCGACCAATGAGGCTCAAGTATCCTGTGTCCTCAAATGTCAAAGGTCGTCCTCAAATGAACCTAAGGCACTTGCCTCCTTACAGTTACCATAGGGCATCATTACTCAGATACTGGTTGGATGGAGTGGTTCACCGACAAACCCAGCTCGAACTTGCAGTGAGGAAGACAGCATGGGCCGGAGCCAGAGAATCGCTGCGATTGCCGTCCACATGAGGACTCCAGGTTCCTTAACAATCCTCATCAGAATCAGCGATCCAGCGATTTTCAATTATCTTCTCTAAGAGGAACTCATTCTATCGGATGACTGGACAGTGTACCCTCTGAAACCGTCCGACTCTGAAGGGAATCGACGACCTACCCTACTCAGGGTCCTGAAAATGATTCAGTGCGATGATCATACATGCGTACGTGCTTGCCTAGGTTATCCTTGATGCATGCAGCTTATGAGTTGTGAATTATGTAGAGGTATAATCGACTAATAGCCCCGATGTTGCAAGCCCCAGACACAATAAGCACAAGTGACAGCCCTGGACCCTAAAAGTTCGCTTTAGCTTAAAATGGCAGGAGAACGCAGCTGTCAAAAAAGCTACCATGGATAGGACGAACCTTCTTTGCATGTTATAACTTATGGCAAGAATGTCTGGAGGTATGTTCAAGCCACCACTTACAGTGTAGAGAATGACACTCACACTTCCTCCCTTGAAGTGGTAGGACATACTTCGGTGACATAACTTAAAAGCTTCCTTGACCAATGCATCTTCATGTTGTGGACCCTTGTGAATGGTAGGTACCTATTGTACGGAGCTCCCGGCCATCCTATTATTTTTTTCACTTTTCCTTTTTCTTTGCCCTCGGAGGACCGGCTGTTTGTTAGGAACAGCATATCTGTCAGCATACCCGATTGTAGCATTCTATGAATCATTAAGAGGAGCTTTTGTCTGGGTCTTTTTAGGTTAGATATGGAATGATGATTCTCTAACTTGTACCCAGGAAAGCTATGTGACAGCGTATTTCTCGATAGTTCCTTCTCCAGCTCAGGTTTAAAAGCCCTGTAGATTCTCCGCATTGGAACACTGGCCTACTAGCTAAGCCAACTATAAGCCTTTATGAACTGTGTTTTCCTTCAATATAATATCCTCGTTTTTCCACCTCGAGCAGAATGACCTGGGATTTCAGCTATCTTGCAAAGAGCGGGCTATTCATCCGCCCTCCAAAGTCGAAATCCGGAGAATCCGAGAAATATGTCTTTGACGCCGGATCAGCACCTATTCCGATGCACGATGCCAACCAAGATGGCCCTTTTCAGGATGACCAGGGATCCCCCATGATTCTATTCCATTCCTGGCCCCCAATAAATAAGGACGAGGCCACGGCAAACCTTGCAGAGTCAGGGGGGAGTAACGTCTCATCTTCAGAGAAACAGCAACTCCTCAAATCATACGAGGAATCATTCGATGACTATCGGACTGTCAAGAGGGAATTGGTACATTCTTTTACCAATGACAGGATGCCGATTGTGAAGCCTTCTTGAATGCAACGTCATCCTACGAGACATTCTTGTACATGGTGCAGCCATCATCCGTGACCTCGGCGGATTTCAGGCCTCAGTATATAGATCTGAGAAGATCTGACTCTGGCTCCGTAAGGCATGAAAGGTTATGGCTGTCTTTCAAAATAATGCCCTACCTTCAGCAGGACAGAATATGTCTCTGCTCCCTACCTCAGATGGTCTTTCATAAATGTGTGGTGTACCTAGCTTGTATATACTTGCTCCCCAGTCAATCATGTATACATCAGCATTTCTTCATAGCTCAGAAACCTGTGGACTGTCCATCAACCTCTCTGCCAATGCAATCTACCATGACACGGGGCGCCTCTTGGAGTATAGCAGCATATTTTCAGAGTAGAATAACACGTCCTCCGGTGAGGTCATGTCCATCGGTTTAAATCTACGCGTCATTCCACCGCCCTTAATCAGCAATGTCCGGCTCAATACTTGGGAGCTGGAGCTACTGCATATTCTTTCACACTGAACCTATCATCTCAAGGCTGCAATCCTCGCAATCGGCAGAAAGTGCTTGCCCCGTTTACAAAGCCTTTCCCCGCCTAATGTGGCTGAACGCTTCAAATTACTGCTACATAGTGCATTGTCTAAGTTGTGCTACTGCACCGGTGGCGAGGGGCTAGCTTTTGACAGTGGAGTTAAAAGACTGACTCGTGTATGCAAGTGCAGGAAGCTGTGGGAAAAGAAAAATTTAGTAGCTGGTCGTCCCTTCTTTTATAGCGGTCTGCTGCTAGAATGCAAGGCATTCAGGCCTACAATGCACAGCTTGTTGTAACCTAGTATATGCAAGTTAAGTTCTTGTTCTGGAACCGTAACAATTCCAAGATCATTCCGATACCGAATCTAGGTACTGACCTACCAAGCTGCATGGTGCATGATGCATCCCTGCCCTAACTGTCACTAAAACTTTTAGGGTTTCTGCAGAATTGCCACATTGGGAAGGGATTCCTTAATGGGCGAGCTGAAAGATGGATGAAACCTTCGGTGTTTTTGATAGGTTTAGGCGATCACTTAGACTCGGACCACTCGGTAGTGCGCTGCCGAGGACTGTGATCTGTCTTTCACTAATGCTCTTCGAAGGCTCCTGTAACAAGATCGGTTTAGATATTCGCTATAGAGACAAACGCTTTAACAGCAATTATGCTTTACTACTAGTACTCCCACCGTCAGTGCAGACCTGCCGCTCGCTCTTAAAATGTATACTGGGGAATGTGAATCGTGCTAACAGTCCAGGTCTTGCCGCCATCGGAAGTCGACATCTCGCCAGTGACGCCCTGGCCCTTGTAGTTGGTGTTCTTGTAGTTGGGATCCGCGCGATCCAGAATAATCTTGGTGTCGATCCAGGCTAGAGAGGTAGCATGTATGTTAGCCAGTGACTTCGAACAGTGGAGTTGCCGTGTAAACTTACAGTGGGCACCGACGGTACCGCAGTCAGTTGCGGCGCACTCCACAGCGCTACCCCAGCCCTGGGCCTCTCCGTCGCTGGTGGAGAGGGTCGAAACGATTTTTCCGTTCACGGAAACCGTCTGCGTGTAGTTGCGAGTAGCATCATCGTATTTGTCTGGAGGATGTTTAGTTCTGCATGTCTAGAGCGTAGACGGGGATATGTCGCGGTTGCTTACAGTGCATCGTTACGTGGTCGCCAGGGTTGGCAGCGGCGCTCTTGCCCTGCACAGGGTACTGCGAGTTCTCTATATAGGCTATGTGTCAGTGCCATTGATGGTTTAGGTAGGAGACGTATCGTGATAGGTCAACGAACCTCCCGTCTTCAGGAGCGTGTAGGCATAGATGCTCCACCCATTGGATTGCCACTTGTCGGCGATGGATTGGATCAAGTCTCCGTTGGAGGTGCCCATGCCGACCCAAAGGGAAAGGTCTCCCCTGTTGTTTTCGCTAAGGGTAGGCAGGACGAGTGTGGAGGTTGCTTCGCGGATGAAGGAATTGGAAGCAACAGGACCGGTGCTAAAGGCAGGACCCATAGCCGCATTCACAGCGGTAAAGGCCCCTGCGGTAAGAGCAGCGGAGAGGAGCTGGCTAATGGAAGGCATCGTAGCAGTAATTTGGAAGTATATGGCTGTAAGTTCAGTGTGGACTGTGTGGTTCTGCTCTTGTCCTTGCTCGGAAGAACATCAAAGCCATTTTATACTTCGCCATTGGGTGAGACTGTTGATCTCAAGCTCAGTCCCTGAATCGTAGTCTCTGAACCCCCCTCGCCGGACTGTGTCAGAGTACGAGTACGAATGTACATATCCAGTGGGATTCTCCACCATTTATGACTCGGGTTGTGAGACATCTATCAAGTCGAAACAGCCTGAGACAGGGGGTTTGGGAATAAAAACACCAATAGGTGGATTTATGACGCTATACAGAGTACTCCGGAGCTGTCTATCAACTTCCATATTCTGCATAAATGGAACACAAATCTGAACTCAAGAAAGTTATGTCAAGTATTCACGGGCCCCTTTCCAAATCAATCCTGTCTGCATGCTCACTGAACCGGAGAAGGGAAGCTTGAAGACATAGTGTTTCAAATATCTCCACCAAGCATCTCCCCTGCGGGTAGACCGGATGTATGAGCACATATATGGTATACTGAACCTACTGAAAAGTTGTCAGCTAATGCTCTATGGTATACTCTAGCTCTAACACACAGCTAGTTAAGAGAGAAGAACTAACATCTCTAACCAACGAGTGGAAGGAACAGAAGTTTCATTAAGACTCCCAGGGATTTTCTGGGGTTGTTACTCAAATCGCCATGTCGCCTGCCAAGGTGCATGGCTTGGACCCCTATTGACATCCAACTAGTCATGTAAATCAGCTACGACGTGCGGGGCTGCATTGCCGGAGGATTCTGAATTAAGGGTCCTTCGGCCATTATCCGGCAGCTGGTAGCGTCTGGGCACTGCACGGTCAGACAGCCGGGAATACTTGCGAATCTTGAATGTCTAGAAAGCCTAAGCTTCTCTCCCTGCAACAATTGAAAAAGCTTACTGGTGGCTTATTATTCAGGAGTGTAAACTGTGAAACCTCGAACTCTTCAGGGTTCAAGGCACCAAAGATCTCGGCGAAAAATACTTCCCAATGCAGCTTATAATCGACTGGCTTATAGCTCGTGACCCCTTAGTTCATTGCTGAGGGTTTCGGCATTATTGAGGCTGTTTGATATAGACTCAGTACGCAGTGATGTACAAGTCTTCGAACAACAGCTGTGTCTGGACTCTGGAATACTGCATGAAATGAGGTGTAGCTTGATACCATTTGATAGACATTATTGTGTTGTATTTGTAGACTGAGCCTGGATCTCAGAAAGAAGCAGATGTCTTCATGATTTAGTTGCAGACAAACTCTGTCTCAGTTGCCTAGATTCATAAGTTCTGGTCATACTCGAACCACAGACTCGGTGGACTGAGTCTCACTAAAATTAGGATAAATTCCCGGAGAAGACTAACAACGGGGTAACCAGTGAAAAGCTGGCTAGTTAACTATTTTCTAAGATTTTCGCTCCTCATCGGCTAACGTATAGTTCCAAGGACTACTTTATCTCGTCATTTAACCACGGATCCTGGAGCAGTTCTTTTGCCGTCTTTCTGTCTTCAGGTCGCCATTGAAGCATCTTCCTCACGAAAGCCAAAAACATTTCCTCATTTCTTCCCTCGAGAAACTCTTCCGACGTTTCCAAACTTACTTGATTTGGTACCTCTATGTCCTGCTTCCATTTCCCTGTGAAAGTTGTTCATAAGCACTCTTCCATTGGTTAGTGCATCAGTGAGAGAGTATACTTACCGTCCTCAGTAAAAAACTCATGACTCCTTTTGCCACGTTTGAGCATATCTAAAGGAGGCGGCCCCAGAATGCCAATTACCTCAGCAAGATGTGCACGGGTGGAATACCCTTTCCCATCAGGATCATTGCCATAGAACAGGTGCTTGCCCTCAAACAGATCCCAGATCTGGGTTTACCTACTAGTTAGTAATCTATAACGAGCGTGGCCATCGTGGCAGAGCATACCATGACGCCAACATTCCATATATCAACTGGGTAGCTCCATTCAGTTTTCAGCATTACTTCTGGCGATCTGTAAACATTGGGCTGTGCGTCATGATTTCTCCTCTCATCTCCTCGTACAGCTGAACCAAAATCACTCAGGACTGCTCGGCCGAATGTCTTTGGCAATTCAAACCGTCGAGAAGCATACACTGGCATGCCGTTGACGAATTTTCGCGGCGAAGGGTTCTCCAGTTCAGCTCTAGTAAAACTGTCAAGGATAGTTCTGTCCTCTATTTCTTGAAGAATGTTATCGCCCTTGATGTCTAATCGGGATGTGGATCAGTAACTGAAGATTTTGAATGTCCACAGAATGTCTTACCTGTATGGACAAGCTTGCATTCGGTATGGAGATAGTCAAGCGCAAGAAGAACCTGCATGAGACCAAGCTTGAGTAGATCTTCAGTAAATCGATGATTAGGGTTGCGATATAGCAGATCCCTGAAACTCTCCCACATTGGTTTCTGAACAAGACAGTGATGGTCCCCTCCGGCACGAGGAATGGTGAGTATATCTAGCGCTCTTCTCACATGAGCATAGCCAGGATGAGATGGGTTCCCTTGGTTCAGATGCTTATAAATCTGGAACTCTTCCTGGTTGGTTTCATTACGTGTATATACCTTGAGTGTCACATATTGATGACCTCTGGTCACATTAGCCGGTCATGGTATGAAACGAATGGAACCAACACCGACGTACTCAAGGTCACGGGCGAGCCATACTGTTGAGGTAACACCAAATCCCAGCTTACCAATGACCTGGTATTTGGAACTGAAGACATCGCCAATATTGACGGGATAATATTGTCCTTTCTTGAACTCTTCGAAACGTTCCTCGTCAAGGAGCTTAGATGGAGCGACCGATTCGAAGCCACTGGTGGGAAAACACATGGGAAGGGACGGAGATCTTCGAAACGTGTTTCTTGCCCATTTCAAGAGGATAGCCATGATGAGAGCACGAAGGGACGCTGATAGGGCTGACAGATCCTAATATCATATGTCTTGCCTGTGTTTATGTTCCAAATATGGTTAGCGCAAAGTGGTTGATATATTATTGATTTTCTCCTCATCAACGTAACCTACGTCATCCACTCAGAGTCACAGTAACACGAAGACATCATGCCATCTTACAGCTTACCCATCATACTGCATTTTTGCAACACAGAAGAGAGTACTTTACAGTCTCTCCTCTCCCCTAAATTCAGGGTTTTTAGTCAAACCAAAGGATCAAAATGAAGCTAGCAGTCTTCAGCGCCAAATCCTACGACAAGCTCTTCCTCGACAGCGCCCTCGAGCAAGACTACGCATCCTTCTGCGAAATCGTCTATCACTCCTTCGCTCTATCCTCAGAGACAGTCTCACTAGCCAAAGACAGCGATGCAGTCTGCGCCTTTGTAAACGACAAACTGGACGCGACAGTCCTCAAATCCCTCCACGCATACGGCATTCGTGCGATCCTTCTGCGCTGCGCCGGCTTTAACAATGTCGACCTGCGAGTCGCGGAGGAGCTGGGTCTGTTCGTCGCCAACGTCCCCTCCTACTCCCCCGAAGCCGTGGCCGAATTCGCCGTGGCGCTGATCCAGACTCTGAACCGTAAGACACACCGCGCGTATAACCGCGTGCGGGAGGGAAACTTCAACCTCGAGGGGTTCCTGGGGCACACGCTGCATGGGAAGACGGTGGGGATCGTAGGTGTTGGGCGCATTGGGCTGGCGCTTGCGAAGATCTTCCATGGGTTTGGCTGCAAGCTGCTGGCGTATGACCCGTTCAGAGGGGAGGAGTTTAGAAAGTACGGCGAGTTCACCGAGTTATCTGAGTTGTTGTCGCAGAGCGATGTGGTCAGCCTCCACTGTCCTCTTACGGAGGACACGCGACATATTATCAATGATGAGACCCTGGCGCAGATGAAGAAGGGTGCGTTGCTGGTTAATACCTCCCGTGGAGGGCTTGTCAGCACCAAGGCTGCGGTCCGGGCGCTCAAAGCGGGCCATTTGGGTGGTCTGGCGTTGGACGTGTACGAAGGGGAGGGCTCGCTGTTCTACAATGATCATTCAGCTGAGATTATCCAAGATGACACGTTGATGCGACTGATGACGTTTCACAATGTTCTTGTCTGCGGACATCAGGCGTTCTTCACGCAGGAGGCCCTCAGTGAAATTGCGGGAGTCACGCTGGGCAATCTGCAAGATTTCGTGTTGAAACGTACTTGCAAGAACTCGTTGGTGCGCGAAGGCCATCTACTGGTTAAGAGGGATACAGCACCTGTTCGTCTATGAGCTGGGAGGGCGTCGCATCAAGCACTTGGGTATTTCGCATTTCGCGTCTATGGCAAGAGCCTATTCATAATAGCATGAATGCTTCGTTTCTCATTACGTACATTTCATCCACGCAGACAAGCCAGGCGGAGGATATATGCCAGCCCCCTTGGGACGATTCGGCTCCCGTGAATGATCAACGGGACGACCGAGATCATCCACATAAAGCACACAAACCTGAAAGCAGCAATAAGTCGGAGTCTCTCAACCAGCGCTAGAACGGTCCTGTCTTTGGCTTTTTCGTAAGCAGCACACCATCTACCCTGGCCTTTCAGTTGAACTCGTTTTGCCTGCTCTCTCTCCTCAACCGCGTCTGCCATCTGCCAGGCGACCCTACGGTTAATCTTTTCCCACGTCGTATCTTCCGCATATGCCCGGGCAGCCACGGCCAGGGACGACAGAAGCTGAGAGTCGCGCGATACCTGCCGCACTAGAGCAACAAACGTCTCAATGTCGTTTGGAGGAACCAAGTATCCTGTCTCTTGATGGCGCACAATATCCGACGGTCCACCCTGGTCCCGTGCGATAACAGGCAGCCCGCTGGCCATTGCCTCGAGCACCACCAACCCGAAAGTCTCGGTAATAGAGCAGTGCAGGAAAAGGTCTCCCGAAGCATATGCACGAGCCAGTGGTTCTCCGGTCAAGAAGCCTGTGAAAACAACATGATCTCTGACATGATCAAAGAGACGGTGAATCTTCCTTTCGACGTCCGGATTGCGGTTTCCTCCGACAATCAAAAGCTTGAACGGTAGCTTCTCTTCCGCGAGTTTGGCTGCTGCCACGGCCAGGAACTCGAATCCTTTCTCCGGGGCCAGTCGGCACACGCAGACGAGGATGATTTCTCCATTGGGCGCAATCTCCTTCCGATAGGCCTCGTCGCGACGAGAGGGATTGAACAAGGTCGTATCGACGCCTCGTCCCAATTTGACAGCTCGTGTGACGGGCGCGCCGGCCTTCTTGAGATAGTCTAAGATGCATGATGATGGATAGAAGATGGTATGCACAGCGGGATTGCTAAAAAGAAAGCCTTGCACCGTCGCTAGCAACCAAACAGACCACCGACTCAAAAGAGTTGGGAAGATGATCTCACTGTATGCTGACAGGTCGGTTTGGAAGTTCAGTAGCACAACGGGGGGGTTTCGCAGCTGCCGCAGGTACAGGAGTAACTGGAAACCTAAGGATGCTGGACTTGCCACATAGACAATATCCGGCTGGACGGTCTCCCTGTAGGCATCTTTCAGGCGGAACGGGTACACCAGCGTCAGATCTGGGTTGTAGGGGAGAGGATAACCTGGCAGTCGCAAATTCGCCACTGGTTGCTCGGGCTGTTGGGCACCCGCGAATTGAGGTGCCACCACGATCAGGTCGACCTCATTGCGACGAAGATAGTCGATCAGACTGCCTGTTGTTCGGCTGACTCCGTTCACAGGACCAAGTGATTCGGTGGTCAACAGCACCTTCTTCCCTTTCAGAGACTGAGGAAAGCTCTCTCTATCCATTTATACCTTAATAGAAGTATTGCGCAAAGGTTAAGTATTATTCTGTAAAGCAGTAATCCAGTCAGGAACCCAGATCTACCTGGTAGTACCAGCCCGCATAAAAGCCATGATGCGAGCCTGAAGTAACCGAAACCAGAATTTCCGTCCAAAGTCAAATGCTACAATCATCGGCGATCACAGCAGATAAGAAAGTGCTTGTGCCGGATTGCAACGTCGAAGCCAGAGCGCAATGCTTCGTGTAGGAGGCCGCGGTGGCTGCACGTGGGTCAACTCTTTGTCGCCCTCCGCTGCGAGGCTCTCCCCTCTCCCGACCAGTGGCAGTCCGCGAATCCCCCCGCGTGCACCCAGCAGTCCAGCTCTTTGGGGATCCATGCGATCAACTCAACTGTCCATTACACACTTATGAACCTTTGGTTATTATTGCTTTACATGACCATCTCAAGCGCTAGGAGGATGGCGGCAACGATCACAAGGCACGCGGGGGCCTTTCTGTTTGCCCCCTCGATGGAGGGGGGTTCGATAAGGGTGAAGCCGGGATGTAAAAGTCTATAAACGCTCTGCGCCCGTTTCTGCAGTGAATCTGTGGTCTTTTTTATGATGGTTGAGCAGGGAGCCATGATCGAAATGGTTACAGAAACTCAAGCAGTCGCAATGGATCTCCCGTCGTCCTCTGCAGGAACCTCAGATGCGAGCTCATATGATGGCTCAACGCGCCCTACAACCCCTTCTTCAAGCCCGCTGTTTTGTGCTTCTAGAATGGAGGACCTGGCTCTGTCGCATTTCATGCACTCTCCTGGCTCTGCTTCACTACAAAGCTTTCCGGCCTGGGGACAGGTGAAGAACATCTGCGTGGTGGGCGCTGGATACGTCGGTATGCTCTGCTAGTATCTCACTTTCTCAGTTGTACAAAAGACTCATCGTTACAGGGGGTCCGACCGCAGCCGTTCTGGCGCTGTACAACCCGTCGATAGCAGTCGAAGTCTTGGACCGAGACCCTGTTCGCATTCGGAAGTGGAAGTCACCACACCTTCCTGTACATGAACCTGGCTTGGTCGACGTCGTCCGAGTGACGAGAGATGGAGCGGAGATTGTCAACAATGAGACTACGTCCCAGGTCAACGCGACGCGCTTGAAGCGGCGCGCAAACCTTTTCTTCACAAGTGACTCGGTGGCAAGCATCTCACGAGCAGATATGATTATGCTTGCGGTCAACACACCCACCAAGACGTTTGGTCTAGGCGCTGGTCGAGCAACGAATATGGCAGCTATTGATGAAGCTGTGCGGCAGATAGCCATCTATGCAAAACCAGGCACAATCATCGTCGAGAAGAGCACAGTTCCTTGTGGTACTGCGCAGCGGATTCAAAACATGGTAAGTACTCATGGCTCCATGTGCCTGCTCTTCATTGACCCCAATCTGACAATGTATAGTTGGCCACCCTGAGGCCCGACGTGCCATTCGAGGTCCTCTCGAACCCCGAATTCCTGTCCGAGGGCTCCGCTATTGAGAACCTCATCTCACCCGATCGTGTCCTCATCGGATCATCTGGAACACCATCCGGACAGCACGCAGCGCGCACTCTTGCACAGATTTACTCATCTTGGGTGCCGTCGTCGCGCATCCTCGAGGTCAACGCATGGTCGTCAGAACTCGCAAAGCTTGTAGCCAACGCCATGCTCGCCCAAAGAATTAGCAGCATCAACTCTATCAGTGCTATTTGCGAGAAGACAGGAGCTGAGGTCGATCAAGTAGCTCAAGCTATCGGTCTCGATGCCCGAATCGGAGCTCAATTCCTCAAAGCCGGACTCGGGTTCGGCGGCTCCTGTTTCCGCAAGGATATCGCCAGCCTGACCTATCTCGCCGAGTCATTGGGCTTGGAAGATGTGGCTCACTATTGGAGCCAGGTCAACGTGATGAATGAGATGCAACGCAACCGGTTCGCTAGGAAAGTCATCGAGAGATTCGATGGTAACTTGACTGGACGAAAGATCGCCATGCTTGGTTTCGCCTTCAAGAAGAACACCGGCGACACACGAGAGTCCCTAGCAGCCGACGTGATCCGGTTACTTCTGGAAGAAAAGCCCATGGAGATTGCGATTTTTGATCCCTTCTGCCTTGAAAAGGACATCATGC